CGGAAGGCCGGATCCGTTGATCAGATCATGACCCATAGACAATGCAGCCTCCTAGACACTTTTGGTCTCTTGAGGTGGTCGAGAGGGACGCTGCTCGTCACGTCCACACGCATATGCCGCAGTTGAGTCGTCGGGCGGATTTGGAGGAAGTGAAGGGGCGAGGCAGTACCTGTTGAAGTTCATGTGGCACTGAGTCCAGTTGCTGTGTTTGCTTCGCGATGGGGGGGGGGAGGGCGGAATGTGTCAACTGCCACCGTAATACTGATAAGTACAAAAAAGGCACCCAGGGTAGTTTATATTTCGTGGTCTCTTGGTGCTCAGCTAAACTTTCTAGTAGTTCACTGCGAAGAAGCAGATACAGTGAGTGACCAATCTCATGAAATGTTGGCCAAAATTCTGAAATGCGGTTTGGGTTAGGAAGGATTACTTAGGCGCCGCTGTAACACTGATTATCCCCTGGCATAATCCTATCATATTTTGGACTCGACAAAATGTCAGCTCTTGAATGCATTTCTTTTCCATCTCCTGTAGAAACCGTACTCGGTAAAAAATGACTACTTAAGCAGCATGCATTTTTCTCACAGACTTGTAAATTTAAATGCATTTTATAGAAGATATGCATAAAAATATTCTTTTTTCAGTCATTGGATAGAGAATCACCTTAACTTTATATTTTATACTTGAAGAAAGAGTATATTTAGGTTTTAATAGGTTTTTCATTATGAGACTTTTGAGACCGCGCAATGTCCATTCATACAGCATCGTACCTTTCCGTTTGCCACTGCTTCTCATGAAATGTACAACATAGTCCGCATCTATTGCAAAATTATATGGATTCAATATGGTATCTTTTTAAAGGGATAGAAGAATATACGATTTTCCTTACGCGGAAGGCATGCACTTTGTGGACTAAAATCACTAGGCGCTAATGCAACGCCTGATCAGGCTCCAAGTTAATTGGGAATTAGAAAACTTTCTTACAACCTAATTATACTCCTTCTTCAAGTACAAAATATAAAGCTAACGTGATTTTCTATCAAATGAGTGAGAAAAATAATATTTTTATGCATATCCTCTTTGAAATATATTTGAATTTATAAGACCATCGAAAATCAGTGAGAAAAATGCATGTTACTTAAGTAGTCATTTTTTACCGAGTACGGTTTCTACAGGAGATTGAAAAGAAATGCATTCAAGAGCCGACATGTTGCCGAGTCCAAAATATTATAGGATTACTCTAGGGGATAATCATTTTTACAACGGCGCCTAAGTAGTCCTTCCTAATCAAAATCGCATTTCAAAATCTTGGTCAACATTTCATGAGATTGGTCACTCACTGTACCTAAGTGGCAGATCTTATTTCCGCTTATTTCTAACCTTGCCCTCATTTTAACCATCCTGATTCTAAACAGTGAACGAGAGGACCGTTTTTTTTATAGTTGGCTTGCGGGAAATGGCGTTTCCGAATTTAGTATTTTGATATCGCGCGCTCTGACTTCTCTATCCCCGCATGCTGTCGTCCAAACTATATTACTTAGTAACTAGTGTCTCCTAAGGTATGGCCCACATTTCTTCGTGTCCTTTTTGTTTTCACATAAGCTGGAAATTGTTAAGGCGTTTTTTTAATTGCATGTGAACTTGTCTCAGTTTTGATGGTTCCACTCAAACCGTGACCTTGCCTTCATGAGTTCAAATTCCACCGAAGTTGCGGAGCTTTTCGCTAAATCATACAACGATTGTGTTGTTGACTAGACACCCGTCCTACAAGTAACGACCATCCAGTTTACGCAAGAACTAGTGTCTTATCCAGGCCAATGGATTGGCCATTGTTGTTGTTGGTCGGGGATCGCCCTTCAGATATCGGTTATCTTACAGGTCCTGAAATCTCGGGTTTCTCTTCAGCCTGTGCTGCTCGTCAACAATTCCGCAACTTAACAGACAGCGCTAGAGCTTGAGCACTACCTCGTTGATAGTAACCATCAACTTCTACCAGGCTTTTTTACCCCCAAAACGTGCCACGCCGTAGA